AGCTGCCCTCTGCCACCGGGAATCACCCATTCTGGGAGGGAAAACCCATTGCCCAGTTTACTATCTGTTCCTGGAAGGTGTGGGTGGCCAGCTGGAGTGAGAGGACGATGGTCAAGAGGAGGAACTGGTGGTGGCAGTCTCAGTCTCTTGGCCCTTCTTTTGTTCCCCCTTCTCTCTCAGTCTGTTTCCTTGAGGTAGGTGGATGGGGTAGGGTCGCCAGACATAGTAAACACAAATACAGGACACCCAGTGAAATTTCAATTTCAGATGAACAAATAATGTTTTAGTATAAGTATGTTCCGTGCAATTTGGGGGATATATGTATACTAAAAAAATCGTTTATCTGAAAGTCCAATTTATCTGTAACCCTAACTGGGTGCTGACCATATGCTGGGAGAAGGCTGCAGTAAATCCAGACAGGACAGGTCTACTGGCAGACAGCCAGGGACAGAGCCAGTGGTGGAGCGGCACGTTAGAGGTCACGCGGGTGATCCTGCAGCTCCTAGGGAAGGTGAAGGGCTGGCTGGAGCAAAGTGACATGAGAACCTGGTCCCCCGCCCAAACAATTCCTGCAGCAGCCCCGGACTGACAACAACCCTGACCCTCACCCAACAAGGCAGGGACAGGAGAGCTGCAGAGCAGCCTGGGCCTCAGCCGGCCCCCTCAGCTCCCCCTGTTGCTCTGGGTGACCTTAGGCAACTCTGGGCAAAGGCCAGGCTGGGAGGCCTGCCTCAGTGGACCGCTCAGTGTATGGGAGGACAGGGTGGGATGCTGGAGAGAATGTCTGAGGAGGGGTGGGCCCCATGAGGGATCTTGCAGTTTCTTCTTTGCACAGGGGGACTGCCACCCCACCATGTATCTGCTGCTTACCACAGAGATGAGCCAGTGTATCACTCCTCGGGATTCCAACCTCCACCCAGTGTTCCCTCCTCTCATTCCTGGAAGCGGCCAGTTTCTCCCCACCTGTAGGTCCTACCCATCCTTCAGTGCTCTTGCTGTTAGCTATGATCACCACCAATTATTGAGTACATCCCCTTGGCCAGGCATCTTGTTTCATCTTTACAACAACCCTATGAGGTAAATGTCATCACCGTCCCCATTTTACAGATGTGGAACTGAAGCTCAGGTGAATTAAATTACCAAAGGTACATCACTAGCTAGTCAGCAGTGGACGGGGACTCAAACCCAGGTCTGGGTGGCTCTGGGGCTCATGCTCCAGGTGTGTCTGGGGCCCTCTCATCGCCTGGTACTGCTGTGCTCCATGTCTGCCCTTTGGTCGGGAGTCTTGGAGGAAGGGCACAGACTGGGTTTTTTCTCCCTGAATCCTCAGGCACAGAGGAAACAGTAGTGTGTGTTGCTGAAAGACCAAATATTTTCCAAAATGTCCCCAGATTTCTTCCCTGTCTCCTGTCCCTCTCCCTGTCCCAGGCCTTGTAGCAGCCTGGGACAGGGAAAGGGACAGGGGACAGAGAACTTGGACTAAGCCTTCCACGTGTCCAGTTTCAGCTGGGGTTAGAGCTCAGAGGAAGGAACTGGCTTGTGACTCTGTCTGTCCTGTAGCTCTCCTTCAAAGGAAACCCCTCCCCAGGTGCCTGGGCCCCGGGACAAGTCCTTGGACTCTAGAGGAGATAATGCCTTTGTCCTTACTGAGATAAACAAACAGAACTGGCCGAAGTGTGTCATGCAAGGTGCAGGAGCAGCGCCCCACCCGTGGAGATAGGCCTGGCCTTCCTCCCAAGGGCACCAGCAGGAGCCTGGGGACAGCCAGACACAGTTAGATGGACGGGCCAAGCTTAGCTCATTTTGCAGGCAGATAAACTAAGGCCCAGAGCAGTGAAGCCATGCCTCCATGCATGCAGGGCCACCTTGCATCTGCCCACCCATAACCCACACATAAGCACAGAGCCTCAGGATCACACCACACAAGGGCACCAGTCACAATACAGTCTCTGTACCGGTGCCTGCTGGAGTTTTGTGACACAGCAGCCTTTACAGGTACATGTGTGCACGTGCACGTACCACCACCACCACCCATCAGGACTCTAGGCCTCTATAGACTCTTATACACTCCCCTGCCGCCGCCCTTCCCCTGCCCCCGCACTGTCAGATCAGAGCCACAGGAAGCAGGGCCAGCAAGTGTGCAAACCGAGAGCCAAGATGGGGAAGTTTATTTTCCAAGAATCATTTAAACACACGAGGAGTATTTTTAGCCCCTGGCTCCCACCCGGATGCTGAATCTAAACAGGGGGCCAAAGAGACGGCCTGTCGGGGACAAGGAGCAGCCAGCAGGGACAGGGTGGGACAGGGTGCTAAAGACCCCACCCTGCCCCTGGTCCAGAGGTCAGTCTTCCTCAGATGACCATAAAGGAGAAAGCTTTCCGAGGAGGTGCAGAGAAACGACCCCAGGTTCTGGCATGTCTCCTAACCCCTCTCTGTACCTCAGCGTCCTCGTCCACGCAAAGGGAGAAATAATACCACCCTCATAGGACTATAGTGAGGCCCATGCCCAGCACACAACGGGCATTCCAGAAACATACATGACGGTCTGTGCTGGGAGCCGGAGACCTCAGAGCAGTCAGGTGGGAGCCACTACTATCAGCCATCAGCCTTCCCCAGGGCTGGCCTGCTGCAGCCAAGTGCGTGTGTACACGTCGCACGTCCAATGCACTGACCCAAGGGGCGCCAGAAGTGAATAGAAGTAGGGCTGAGGGGTGAGCTGGCCCCTCTTTCTGAACAAGGGAGCCACTGGTAGCTCCCTATCATGTCTGTGTGTCAAGAGACAGGCCAGGCTGGGCACAAAGAACTTAAAGTGCCTTCTCTGAGGGGGTCTGTTGAAGGTGGCGGGATGGCATAGAGGGGATGAATTTACTCAGAAGAGGAGGCTCTCAAGAACACACACATAGCAAGCAAGGGGGATTGCCTATCAGTCTCAGGGTGTGGGGGCCAGTTCCAGCGGGTTGGCTGCCCACTCCTGGGGTGACTGGCCAGGAGTGACCTTGCTACCAGTTGTGTGCTGACAGCACCTGCTCCAGCCTCCAGGTGCAGGGAGGGCTGGTGGAATGCAGGAAGGAGGCTTGGGCCCCACCCCCCAGCCCTGGACAAGCTGTGCCCACGCTGGCCCCCAGTGGCCAGCTTTATTATCGTGGGGTCAGGGGGATAGGGGAGGGTCCTGTGCCTTCCGCCTGGGGTTGGAGAGGCCAAGCTCCCCTAGGCTCTTGTAAAGAACTTCCTGGTTCTGCTGCCATGTTATTTACTGAATGCTGCCTTGAGGGCAGGAACTGGGATGGGGGTAGGGGTGCAGTTGGGGAAGGGGAGGGACAGTTCAGACTTCAGAGAACACTGAGCCTGGGGTGGGGGGGCCGCAACTTAGATCTTAGATTCCCTGCAGTTTGGGTGGGAACCAAAGAGAACAGGTTTGGTGTCCACACACCCCCTGCTGACAAAGGCTGCCTGCTGTTGCTATGGTGACGGCAATACCAATCTCCTCCCCTCCCCACCACCCACAGCTGTGTGGTCACCAGTGAAGGGAGTGGGGTGCTTATTCCTGGTCACGAAGGGGAAAAGGGAGGGAGAAGCCCTT